AAGAGAAGGGGCGCTCCGCCTAACCACACGGTCAGGCAATTATTTCGCTTTGTCTGTAAGTCCTGTTCCGCCCCCCTGGGCCGAGCGTGGATTCCATTTAATCGCATTAGGGAACCTAACCTAAACGGGCCATAAATTGTTTTTGAACATGTGCATTCGACGGTAGAATCTGAGGGCCAGGCCTATATTACTTGCTCTGTACAACTCTCGCACTCCTTCTCCCTCTTATGTCACTCTGTGCTTTAATTAGAACGTGGCAAAAATCACTGCACTTGTTCTCTCTAGCACGCACTCTCTCCCACTCACACCCTGTGTCATTTAAGCGTGTGCGTTTTTTTTTTCTTCAACTTCAAGATGGCAAGGTGTATGTTATATAGGTGGGTTATTGCCAAAGAGCACTCTTTTAACGGCAGCCCAGATATTTGGGCTTGTGTGTACCGTACAATGGGTGACACATTGTGAGCGTGAAAGAGGGGGCAACTGACTGGTGCCAGGAACTGCCTCGCCTCACCTTATAGAAGAGCACCTTGTGCACGACGGCGTCGAGACGTCTGCCAGTAAGAAAAGAGAGCACGCAACAAGTCGAAATGGAATGAAAATGTTCTGTTAGGATGAGTAAGTAGAATGATTTAAAGAAGAAACGGGAGAGAAAAGAAGAACGCGAGTAGTGGGCTTGTGTGTGTTCACACACAAGTGGCCTTCATTTATTGCGTTTCTTTAATGCGGGCCGGCACCTTTCGGGAGGGTCACGTGCGAGGGTCGCTCCAGCCGTTGGGAAATGCTCTGCTTAAGAGCTCTCTGCTAGTGGCGGAGCACATAGTGTTCCTTTCTCTCTCTCTCTGTCCCTCTTTATATTTATTCCCGTTATGTGGGTTTATACATGCAATTTATATGCGCCAGAGCCAAGGCACAACTCCACCCCGAGGCCCCTTCGCTTCCTCTCGCGCTTGCACAAATAATTGCAACATATTAATAATGTCTGCGGCCAAGTCCCCTGCCCGGCCGCCTGCCACACCTGTAACGGCGCATTCAATTTTCGGCAAGCAGTTAATAGCCTCCCCGCCCCCTCCCCAAGAAGATGCTGTGACTGGGAAATGGGGGAATACGGAAGGAGAGAACGATAAAAGTCCGGAAAGCAACGTAAGCTAAAAGAGAGAATACGATTGAAGGAAATCGCTTGAAATTTAACAAATTTTTCTTGGCTCCCAAGCCCCAAACACAAAGCCATCATAGCCCCTAACAGGCAAAGGGAACCCAGTCCCCGCCCGAGTTTAAAATGAGCTTATTGGCTTTTGGAAGCTTCCCCCCCCAACACCACCCATTCTCTGAGAAAAACAACGATGATGGAAGACTGTCTCTATAGCCGAAGATTTAAATACTCTAGCATATATGGATGAGGTGTGTAAAATTAACATTATCGAATGAACCAATATCAGACAGACCGGTACAGACTGATATTGATCAACAAGACATATAGAATTTCTATACCTTAAGTATGTCAAACATCTGACTGCAGCAGTAATACCGTCTTCGAGGGTACGCCGACAGAGCGAAAGACACACTTGGCTAAAAATGTTGACGAGCTCAGCAATCTGAACACGCATGTGGCAGATGCCAGAGGTGGATTGAAGCAATAGGGAAAACAGTGTGGTGGCAGGGGCAGATGCCAGAGCTGGATGGTAACAGATCCACGGGCAGGCATACCCGGCGACATTGCATGGACATGGCCTGAACACGTAGCTGGTCGCCTCACGTCACGTTATGCGTAACGTAATGTGATTTTGCGTCCATGCTGCCCGTGTCGGTGTCCACCTGCGTGGCCCTGATAATCCGCAACGATGCAAGGGCCGGCCACCCTTTCCACTCCACTCCAAGACCACTGAGGTGCTGTCGATATTCGAGCCCCACTCGCCCGATGCCCAACCGGATGGTGTACCCAGGTTCCTTACGTCGGATTGCATAGCTTACGTGATAAATGGCGAGTGCAAATCGAAGTGGATTCCGGGCGTCGAAGGTCGAGAGAAATTAAAGAGAGGATACTACTAGTCCACAAGAGTACATGCTTTAATTAACTGACATTACATAACATTACGCTACGGGAAAATTTGGGTAGTATTCCCAACTGACTGAGTGTTACGTGATATCAATTAACGGTTAACCTTACGTTAAATCCAATATTGAGCTGCATCATATTGGGTTTACATCATCTTACGAGTGTGTCACATCACGCTACGCTGGGCTATATGTACATACATGTACATTTACACAGGGCTAATGCGCTCAGCCCCAGACTAAAGTTAAAGCCTAATTACGTTAAAGCCAAAAGACGTTGACTAAGTAGCTCAGCGCCAGACGGAGACAGGGGACAGGAGACAGGAGACAGGAGTTTGAGATGGAGATGGAAGTGAAAGTGGCGAGTGGAGAGTGAGATGGAGGCGGAGACAGAATTCTGACCATCTTCTTGCAGACACCTTGTCCAAGTAGCCAGACCACAGACAAACGGGGAGACAGACTGAGACCTTAGTGCCCGACCGCGTCAGAGGGCAAGAATGAAGGGGCAGGAATAAGGACAGGATGAAAGAAGCTTGCCAAGCTGTGGCAGTCCATAAATTTCTATCTGTCGGCAAATCTTGGCCCCAACTATGGCTTTGTTGGGTAGGGGCAGGGGCTGGTGTTGCTGCTGGTGCTGGTGCGACGAAAACGCATCTGTTTATGCCTGGCTTCAGAATCTAGATGCTTGTGGAATACTGCGAGAGTATTGTTGGTCTGTGGCATTGTTTGCACTAGCTGCTGCTATTGCTGTTGGTGTCGCCTTGGCATTGTTTCTGGATTGGCATTGTCACTAACGTCCCCCCCCCCCACCGCCGTTGCCGTTGTTGTTCTCGTCCTTGTTGTGGGTCGTCCACGTTAATTGTTTCACGTTTAAACTACTCTGTCCGGACTCCCGCTTCGGATTGGCAATGGCAATGGCAATGGCAATGGAGTTGAATGGGGCTGGAATAGAAGGGCAAAGCACTACCTACTTGTAGCACTGAGAGTGAGAGTGCGGCTGAGACGGGGAACTCTATTAGTTTTAATTAAACAGCTGAGCTGAGCTGAGTTGAGCTGAGCTGAGCGTCTGAGCTAACTAATTAGTTGAATGCCAGAAGTACACTGCGGGGAAAACATCCTGCATCCGAAAATATACATATGTACATATCTACTCGTATATTTAAATTGAATTGCAAACGGGAATGAGTTTCAATAAATGGATATTACGTTATGTTTAGTTTTAAATGTGTGAATATTTGTTGTTTTTGGGGATGCTGATTTCATGATGAACTATTTTGTACTATACACTGGACGAAAGCATTTTTCCCCAGTGTCTAATCGGAGGGCGAGAGAGCGGGACCCGGTCGGTCCCCTTTCCTCACGGTCCGGTTTTAATCATTATAATTAATGTGCGCTTGTTAATAACAATTAAATGCCCTTTTTTTCCGTTCTTCCAATTGTTCGGTTCCCCCCGGTTTTTGTGTTCCAATGCCAGCATCTTGTGGTTGAGACGGGTCTGGGACTTGGCTTTGGGATTTGGAGTCGGATTGGGATTGGGATTGGCATTGCCTGGCAACTCTGGCAGCACAATTAAGCATTTAATCAATACAATTAAAGCCTTGGGCTCAGGCGAGTGCCATTCAGAGAGATGGGTGGCGGGGTATCTAGGAGTGCAAGAGGATGGGAAGGACGAGGGCAACAAAGGCAAACGGTCACATAAAAATAAACATAAAACAAAGAAACATTTCGAGAAGCCCAAAAAAACAGAGCTAACAAAAAGGGAGACGAGAAAGGAAAGGACTCGAGAAAACTTCGCAGCGTTCGGCGGTGGCCGGAAAGTCGACTAGACGACACTCTCATCGTTGGAAGGCAGATATAGGCGGACGGGAGCCAGGATCAGGAAGAACTATTTCCACAAGCATCATGCATCATGCATGATTATAAAACGCCCTTAACAACGCCGATCTCTATTCAAGCTATGCCAAAAGCCATATGAGCGGAGAGAGAATGAGAGAGCTGTGATCGATGACATATCGTTTCATTCCTGAAAAAGGAGAGAATATAGCGAGAGGGCGCTTAAAAGCGCAAAGCAACTCTGGTTGCCCTTCTTCTTGTTATGTCAAAGGGAGAAAGCTACAGCACAAGAGAGCTGCGAAAGCTGGATTAAAACTTTTTCTAGGAACCAAATTTAAGCCACACACGAGGAGATGGCATGTCGCTCTCTACTTCCCTTCTCTAACCACCCACCCACCACTCCTGGTGCTCCTGCTCCTGCTCCAGCTCCATCATCTTTGGCAACTAAATCCCCAATGCGCGTCCCGCCTTTTATGACAAGCGATGGGTGGGGCGCTTTGTGTCCAGGGTCTGGTTGGGGGAGGACACTGCAAGTTTTTACGCAAATAAACGCACGTATTTCACAACTTTGCGCCACTTTCATTTTCATTTTGGGATTCGGTTTTTTTTGGTATTTTTTTTTGTATTTTTGGACCTCCTCTCAACCACTGCCAATAACGGTACTTGTGCTCGTAGCTGTCCTTTTTTCTCCTTTCCCTTCTCTTCTCTTCTCTTCTCTTTTAGCTTCCTCTTGTGACCTTGTCGGCGACGGCGGCTAGAGTGGGACCGAAATTTCGCTGCTAATGGAAAATAGTAATTACAATAATTTCCCTCTCTGTTTTGCGCTCTGTCTGACGCCTTTTTGAATTATTTATTTGATTGCAGGTGGAAAAGAAAAGGCAAGACAATAAACCTACGCGTAATACTGGAATGAATAACTGGACGGATTCCCGTCGGACGGGACGGGACGGGATGGGACGAGCAGCGAAAGTTCGTTCTAACTGTTGCTCCCTCGCGGAGAGAAACAGAAAAGGGAGATGACGATGGAGTGTGCGTGTGCGTGTGCGTGTTCGTGTGTGTGTGTGTGTCATAGTGTGTGGAAATGTATCGCAGTTTAAGATTCAATTTTCGCTTACTTGACACTTTAGCCTCCTCCTCGGCTTCTGCTTCTCAGCTTCTCAGCTTCTCCGCTTCTGCTCCTTTTTATGTTCCTTCTACTTTTCCTGGATTTGTGCTATATTTGATTACTTTTAGTTATTTACTTTTTCTTTGTTATGCTTCTCTCCTGCGGGGCGATAGAGGGAGAGAAAGAAATAATGTTTAACGGGCAATTAATTCTTGGGAATCGAACGAACGATGCAGCTCTGCAACGAGCTCTGAGCTGTTCCCAAAATCCTTGGGGGAAAGAGTGGAGAATGCAAGCCGGAATTGGGTAGCCAGAAGGCGCATGGCAGAAGTCAGATGGAAAAACTGGATGGAAAGGACTGCCGAATGGTACAGTCTGCACAACAAAGTCCATGCTCTGTGTTCACATTTTCGCTAAATGTAGGCAATGCATTGGGCCAAAGTCCTCGACAACTCCTACATACATATAAATAACGTTTCTATAAATTCGATTGTGCATTCAACGGCTGGACGGCTGGACGGACTTTCGGGTTGGTTATTAATTTGTCAAAGTCAAACCAGATATTAAATATGATATGAAATTCGACCCGAGCAGAGTCCTCCCCTTGGGCGACCTAGTACTATACCCATACACCCCCCCCCCCCACCCCAATAAATACAAAATATTAAAATGGAAAATGCTGCAAAAATATCATCCTTAAAATAGTATCCTCCCACGCAATCAATTGAGAATGGATATGATTGCAAAAAACAAACAGATTTATGAGACAGTTCTGTGGGACTATCAGTAGGTCATAGCTTTAATATAACTACGGCGGGAGTGGTAATGGAAATAGGAATGTGAATGTTAATGTGGGATGTGTCGTACATATTAATTCCAATTTGTAACTCAATAATCGCGCCCGTTCTTGGAACAATAAACTCAATCAGAAATACCAGCGTGAACGAATAATTCTCCGTCCGGAATTAATACATATGTATGTACATGTACATATGTACATATGTACATATTTTTTTCAATCCCTGTAAATTTCTCGTCTACTCCCACCGTAGCATCCGTAAAAGGCCTTAAAAAGAAAGTCGGATTAGAGTAAGGCTCGCAGTGAGGAATATAAAGGCAACAACAACAACAATAGGAGCAGATGCGCGGGGGGGGGGGGGACTGGAGCGATGCAAATCAAATTTATGATTCTTGATGGAATTTATTTTCTTGTCACTTTGCATTTAACAGTAATTTATGCGCTGATAAAAAATCGTCCAAAAAAATTTGAAAAAAAAGTACAAGTGCATTCAGAACATGACTTTACACGATTTTAATATTTGACACCACGGGGGAAAATGTACTTTCCACAGCATTTAGTACGCTCACTTTTCAGGTGTTGGAACAGAAAAAAAAAAATGAAATGCTTGGGCAAACAACACACAGTTGGACAAAAACAAGCATAAGCTGGTTTTTTTGGATACCATTTCGAGTCACTATATATTTTTGTCTCGACTCTTCTCAAACAAACACTTTTTTTTTTGCAAGTAAGAAATTCGATTTACCTAGGAATGCCGGAAACTCAAATGAATTTAAAGTAATTTTCTCGCTTGATTCTCGCTTGATTTTTCGGTTTTTCGATTTTGTTGGGCGATTTCTCAGTTGTTTTCGTGGCGTTTTTTGGTTGATTTTGGTTCGTCGTTCGGCGTCTCCGGATTCGGGAGCAGAGTCCAACTGGTTGCCGCGGTCCTGTTCAAAGCAGTGGTGGATGGATGCGTCGGAGCAGCAGCAGCAGCACAGAAGCGCCAGTGCCGTTATTGTGGCCAGCAGCAAGGACGATGAACACGAGAATGACAAACCCGAATGACGTACGATGGCTACCATGGCAGCAGCACGCAGCACGCAGCAAGCAGCAGCAAGCAGCAGCAGAAGGAAGAGCCGACGGTCCACGAGGACCTCATCGGTCTCGATCTGGATGAAGAGTGTTGCCTTGCGAGGGCGGGAGACCTCATCAACGCTCTGCTGGTGTGAGTGTTAAGCGTGTGCGTGTGTATCTGCCAGCAGAGAGACGCAACAGTGCCGTGTACGTTAACGTTATCGTTCGCTTCGGTTTCAGTTTCGGTTTTTGGTTCGGGCTCCGATTCTCGGATTCTCGGATTCGTGGTTTGTTTTGTTATTCGTGGGAAGGGGAGTGGGTGTGGGGGGTGGTGGATGAGTTCGGGGTTTTGGGTTCGTTTTCGTTTTCGCTTTCACTTGTGCCTTTTGTCTTGGCTTTAGAGCAAGGTGCAAGGTGTATCGAATCGCATGGTACGGCCAGGCGTTTTTCATTGAGTGCGTATGCCGGACTGTTCCGGACTGTTCTACCCTATGTACTTAATAGACCTTGCGCTACCTTACCCACTCCACCCCACCCCACCCACAACCAGCCAGCACACATTGTCACTTTTCTTCGTGCGAGTAAAAGTGCCGCTACGGCTAGGGAAAGCTTCCGCTGGGCGGCGCCACCAATTAGAATATTTCTCGCAAATTAAGAAAAACACGAAAAATCTAGCCAAAGTAAATAACAGTTGGCAGCGCACTTTGATAAAGTTGACCACACCCCACGTCCCCACACACACACACACACACACACACACACACACATGGCTGAGAGAGGAGTAGAGCGGGTGGATAGATATGGGTAGATATATAGATAGAGATGAAGGGTTTCTCATTAAGCAGATTTTGGCATTTTGCGCTTTGGGTCAACAAAAGTTTCAGCTGTTTGTTTTTCTTCTCTATATTTTTTTTAGATGAACATGTGAGTGGGGCGCTTGGGGCTGGTGGACAGAGTGGATGTTTGAGGTGAGCAAAAGCTGGGAAAGTTTCTATAAAAATACAGATACCATAAGACAGAGACAGAGAGAGAGACAGACGGCACCAGAGAACGGGCGAGCTCTCTTGATCGAGAAATATTTTTTCTGTGGGAATTGGATAGTGAAAGGAAATTAGAAATAAAAAAAAAAACGAGAGGGAACGTGTGAGTCGCTTCTGTGGACGCGACTCTACTTTATACCCGTACTCAGACGGAATATAAATTTGTAAGCTTATGATTTATTTGGAATTAAAAAATATTTTATATATTTTACATGCTCATCAAGGATATATGTACATATATACTTAATGGGGTCGGAAACGTTTCCTTCTCTGCGTTACACACATCCACTTTTACCACAAATACAATATACCCCTCAGCTCTTTTTGAGTACGGGTATAAAAATGTATATGGTTCAAAATATTATCGAAGAGCCAGCAAAAGCATTCTCAGAGAGAGCTTTCTCCGATCGAGTGCATCCCCAAAATAGAACAATGAGGGGAGAGGCGTCCGTCAACAGAACGCGCTCCATCAGTGTGGATTCGATTTTATAATGGATTTGTTGTTCCTCAGCCGGCGAATATTTTTGGGCGACGGCAGTCACGAGACGCCCCTCCACGGCGGCATCGTCGTCGACACACAGGGCATCATCCGCCAGGGTAAATGTCTCTCTCTCTTTCTCTTGAACCCTTGAACTCTTGAACCCTTTCCATCTACTCAATAGTGCTAAGATCTCCCCAAGAGGTCAACACCTACCTGTACAACATCGAGTCCGAGGCCGTCTATGATTTTGGCGACCTGGTTCTTATGCCCGGCCTCATCGACTCCAATGTTCACATCAACGAGCCGGGCCGGAAGGACTGGGAGGGCTTTGTGACGGCCACCAAGGCCGCTGCCGCCGGGGGCTTCACAACCATCATCGATCGTCCTGCCAACGCCTCGCCCCCCACCATCAGTGTGGCGGCCCTCTCGGCCAAGACGGCTACGGCCCGTGGGAAGATCTACGTGGACGTGGGCTTCTGGGGCGGCATCGTTCCGGGCAACGGGGACCAACTGGCACCGCTGCTCGCCGCCGGCGTCATGGGGCTACAGTGCACCCTCTGCGGCTCAGCGAGTCCAGTCGGCGAGGAGTTTCCTTCCGTAGACGAGACGCAGCTGGAGGAGGCGCTGCAGCGGCTCGGAACGGAGAACGAGGACGATGGAGTTATTGCTGTGAGTAGTGGATCCAGTGTCAGCGTGTCCCTCAGATTGATTCGCACATTCCCCAGGTCCATGCCGAGCTCCCGCTCGCCGTTGACATTCCAGCTGACGAGGAGGCACCCAAGGAGTACGCCAGTTTCCTGGTCACCCGTCCACCCGCCATGGAGGTGACCGCGATGCAGCTGCTCAGCCGCCTGGCCCAGCGCTATCCGCGCCGCCGTCTGCACGCCCTAAACGTGAGCAGCGCCGAAGCATTGGCCCCGGCAGAGGCCTGCCAGCAAGCGGGCGTCCACCTGACGGTGGAGACCTGCCCCCACTATCTGGCCCTCAGTGCGGAGGAGGTGCCCCAGTGCGGAACGGAGTTCAAGACTTGGCCGCCCATCCGGCAGCGGTCCAACCAGGAGCAGCTGCGGCGCGCGCTACGGCCGGGCGGGGCCATCCGGATGATCGCCAGCGATCACTCTCCCTGCACGCCTGGCATCCGCTGCCTCACGGGCGGGCGGGGTCGGGGCAATTTCCTCAAGGCCTGGCCTGGCATCAACTCCCTGCAGCTGTCCCTTCCCGTGGTGTGGACAGCAGTGGGCGAACGAGGAGGAGCAGGAGGAGCCAGTGATGACCTGAGGCTGTCCGTTTCGGATATCCACCGCCTCATGTGCTGGGAGCCGGCGAAGCTGTGCGGCTTGGACAGGTTCAAGGGCCGCATCGCCGAGGGCTACGACGGTGACTTCTGTGTCTGGAGTCCCGAGGAGGAGTTCAGCGTCGCACCGGGGAATCTCTATACCGCCACCAAGGCCACGCCCTATGCGGGCCGCCGTCTGCGAGGCGTGGTGCATGCCACGGTGGTTCGTGGCCTGCATGTCTATCAGCAGTTCGAGGGCTTCGGGCAGCCCCTGGGGAAGGTCCTGTTGCGGAAGAGCAGCCGGAAGGTGGTCAAGTTCGTTCGAATGTGATGAGGTGGACACAAGATGAGGGCGTATGGGATGCCCTGGGGCGCAGAGGACTGTGCAGGGTAAACTTTGTTAATTAAAATCATTAAGAGATTGGGCTGAAATCCTCCACGCTCCACGCCATACTTACTCGCGTGTCTTGGCTGGAGATGAAGATGGCGATGGCGATGGTGACGGAGACGGAGACGGAAACGAAGACGGTGAGACGTGCAACAAGTTGTCGCGTGGCAACGCTGAGTAAACATGACACCAAGCACTGACCCCACATCGACATCCACATACCACCCCACAAGCATGTGTGTGTATACACCACCCTGCCGCCCCTGCCAGTCATGTGGATGACAGCTTAAGTTTGCTTGCCAGGCGTCAACTTAATTTCGATACTCTTCCCGAGAGGTTAGGGGCTTTTCCCTTTACCAAATTCTCATCCATTTTGAGTTTATATCGAGTGGATGGAGATACAGAGGGCAATCCACCCAATACCTATAGTATGTATGTACATATACATATGTATGTATGTACGTATGTACATATCACTCGATTCAATCAGCAAAACTCTCTTTTTATAAATAAATAAGCCACACTATAATTAAGGTGCAGTTTTTATTATATACATTTATTTTTATATACATATGTATAAGAGTAAGAGTATATTTTTATTCGTTGTGGCCCTGTTTTTGAGGCACCTCTGCGTGTGCGAGCATGGCATGTCTTGGAAAAGTGTGTGAGTGAGCCATGAGACGTGTTTACGTAAGGAAGGGTCTGGGACAACGGTGCAAGAAGAGGGCGCAAGTTTGGATTTGGTATACGATATATGTATACGGTATGTGAACATACATACATACATATGTACATGCATACATAGGTTTATGCCGTGATTTAGCTGAGAGAAGAGTGGTTTCACGAAGCCCCACATAGAGAGAAGGAGGGAGAAAGAGATAGAGAGATCAGCAGCAGCAGGGAGATTTTCGTCAGGAGCTGGCAGGCAGCTGTCAGTCAAGGAGCGACCCACGCATAAACCGTTTTCTTCTCTGTTCTCCCGTTGTACGGCTAACAAGGTGTATTCATGGGAAGGTAGGGTGCATAACTGTTCTACATCATCAATGCATAGGCCAAGAGTCACAAATAAAGTTTGCCCTTTAGTGCGCTTCTGTTGATACACATACATATGTATGTATGCATGTACCTTACCTTATATTTGATATATTTACCTTGGTTGGAATAACATCTTCGGCTTCTTGATTTTGCCACAAGGCCCTGTGCCTTCTTCAGTCTCCGTCTCTGTCTGGTGACCATACGTTTTTTTTTTTGTCTCTTTGTTTTCCTTCGTGCCATTTACTCCCCACTTTGCCCACTCTTTCGCACTGTTTGTTTGCTTCCTGCCTGTTGCCTGCGTCATGGATGCCCACGCTCCGCGTAAGGCTCAAAACAGCAGCGTCCGACCCGTGCGCGGCTTTGTTTAACTTAACCCCACCACAGGGGGAGTCCCATTTAACTCTTAAGCGGTCAGCTTCAAGTGGTTAAAGTGTAACAACTGGAAAAACAACATGCTTTTCTCCAGAAATTCCTGGCATTACGACCGTGTGTATTTCTGCACGAAATTTACAGGGAACTCCAACTCCACTCACTCACTGAAATAATGGTGTATGTTGTTCAAACTAAAGAAGCTTAGCCCCAAGGCAAAACAGACGCTGGCACAAACGTTTCACAATTTCACAATTCCACAGCTGTGAAAGCAGCTGTTTTTGATCGTTTCCCGTTGAAACATTAAACTTTAATGATTAAACGAACTGATTGCAAGCAGACATACAAACATGGCTATATCTACTCGGCTATTAATATATACTTTACATACTTTACGGAGTTGGAAATGTTTCCCTCTCTGCGTTGCACACATCCCAACTTTTATCACAAATCTAATATACCTCTTAACTCTTCGAGTACGGGTATAAAAATGCGTAGCTTCCCAGGAACTTTTGTTTTATAAAGATTTAAGGATGACAGGAACACGTATAACCATTTCAGGGTTAACGGCGCTGCTCTTCGACTCACTGGAGATGGAGAAAGACGCCAATTGAGGAAGATGGCTGGTAGCGATCCTTTGTGCAACGGGTGCAGCTTCCCCATTAAATAAATGCCACAAGCAGATCAAAGTTGCCAAGTACATTGCCTCTGTGATGTAAATGGATGGGGAGCCACGCTTTTGAGTGTATTCCACCTGTCAGGAACAGACTACAACAGCCCAGATTTAGCCACACGGCGTATGCTCGACTCGCAGCTTCCGCTCAAGGAAACTTTTGGGGGAGAGCGGGTTAGAAATGTGATGGAAGTTAAAGCGAATGGGGGAAAGGTATGCATAACGCATACCAAGTGCCACGTGAAATGGTATTTCCAACCCTGGGGGGCCAGAAGTGGAGCCAAGCGTAAAAGAGATGTTACATGATTTTACCTACGACTGCAAGTGATATACATATGTAACATACATATGTAAAAGTAAGCCAGAATATACGTACATATTTACATACACTTTTGAATGATACCCTTTTCTTTTTCAGATCGATCGTTCCTATGTCAGGTTTGTACAGCTGTGAACAGTTTGCAAATTGTACTGAAATTTACATACATACACTTTATTTTGATATTTCCGATGGACATATACATATATACATATGTATGTATATTACCCTTCCCCTTACCCACTCATCATTCTTCCTGTAAGAGTCTCAAAAGCACCGCAAAGTATGCAGCACCACATAATGTGTTAAGTGGGCGTACGTTAGGCCTGAGCGTGCGCAAGTGAGTCGGCAAGAAAGCGGTTCGCGCTCTCATACGCCATAACTGTGGGCTATAGGCGATAACGGAATGCCAGCAACAACATCACAAGCAGCAACGCAACGCGCGCCTACGTGTAGCCACCCAACGATAGCTAGCCCGCTCTCACCTACATATTACGATCAGATTTAGAAACATATATTTTGTGTGTACGATGTGGGAAAAGGGTGAGTAAGAAGAACGACGACGTCGACGCTGACGCTGACTTTGACGTGGCGGCGATAACGTTGCTGCCGCACATAACAAAATTACGAAACGATTCGCCAAGAACTTAATGTGGGAGAGAGCAGGAGCCGTAGAGAGAGAGAGACAAATCCAATCATATGCTCACTCAGCTGTGGCTCTGCCCAAGGTAAATTAAATAGAAGGTAATGCTGTTCTCCTCTTCGGGTAACTCAGTTAGTTTGTATGTAACCCTTTCACACCCCCGCTATCTTTTTTTCACGCATAGATACTTGGATGGCAATTTCCGAAAAATTTTCTTTGGCTGCCTTTCCGTCTATATAATGTACCTTGGCTCTGCAAAGCTGCTCCCGTCGCAGCTGCTGGTGACGTGTATGCGGTGTGTCGACGTCGACGTCTCTGCCTCCGTCTCCGCACGGGCTCCACGCGGGCATGCGGCACAGTCATTGGCATCCCGTCAGTATTGTTCAGCAATACGAAGCGAGGCGGCAGCGAGCAGCAGGCCCTCTGACAAAAAAAACCAACAAAACTATCGGCCATCAAAACAACAAAAACTACCGTTCAAATTGTCGTCGCGTCACTGTCGACGCCGGTAGCAACAACAACGCTGAAAAGGTGACGAGTGCTAATCTAAAGAGAGAGAGAGCGAGAGAGAGAGAGAGCGAGTGATAGAGAGGTGGCAAGCAGAAGAAGCAGATCCAAAAACAAATTTGAGCGCCAAAAAAATGTGTCATTCTAACAGTAAAACAACAAAAGCAAAAGCAGTTTTTTTTTTAATTTTGTTTGGTTTCAGTGTGTGTCTCAGTGCCACAATGTGATTGTGTGTGTAATTTTTGCGCTTTTAGCCTTTTAAAAATATTTTATTTGTGTACAAAATTAAGCAAGTAAATAATTATAGCTTTGCGGCTGCTCGTTCTCCATCTCGCTCTTGCTCTCTACTGCTCCCATACTGTGTATATTCATGCCTAAGTGTGTGTGTTTGTGTGTGTGTGGCTGAGTGTGTGTATATTGTATCGTAATCAAATACAAAATCAAAAAAAATAACAAAAATCTTGACGTAATCGCAAAAATGCAAAAAGAAAACGAAACGAAAAAGCAACAGGAAAATCAACAATAACAACAAAGATTACTATGCTTCTGTGCTTCGCTCTCTTTCTGTTTTGCTTCGATTCCACATTTGCACTTAAATGCAGCCCTGCCTTCTGCATTGGTGTAAATGAGACAGAGGTAAAACACACGCACACCCCCACACGCTCACACACTTTTTCATACATACATATAAATCTGTTTTGTTTGCCGTTATGCAAAGATTTCATTGTTATTAGTCAGCAAAAGCATCAATAAACATCAAAAGAGCGGGTAAGCGATAACTAGAAATATGTTTGTGGGAATGCCCAGAGGGGGGAGAAGAGGTCTGTAAGGAGACTTGCCATTGCGATCACATATGTAAGTACATATGTACATGGATTTGAACATATGTATGTAAATATGTACATATACTTGTATGAAGCGTATGATCCTCAATGAACACAGGTGATCATTGGGAGCTCCAAGATCCCTCGGTCGGACTGCACTGTACGGATTTTTACGTTAAATACCCTTTTGTGGGGGAGGTGAGCATTAATGCCCTGAGAGGTGATCCGCAGGAGAATTTGTTTGCCCCATTAGAACAGTTGGAGAGCCCTTTCGCGCATCTCCTCTCGACTGACTATGTCCAACTGCTTGCGGGGCAGAGATTCAGAGGAGCTCACAAGCGGTGTACTCCGGATTACGCCTATTCACTAGTTTTCCGAGATATGATAAACTCTGTGACGCCGATAACGGGTAGCAGCTCGTTAGAACCATTATTACTTTAATAGTGCTAGTGCGCGATTGCGTCCTGGAACATGGGGAGTCACCGAATCGATCAAGGAAACATATTGTACGCGTCTTGTTCGGTGCTGCCCTTCCTTCAACACCACCAAGTGCCAAGGCCTAATCTGTCGCTCAACGGGTTCCAGTCCCATGCATAATTAACCAACAAAAACGCATTCTGAAGAGCTGATAACAGTGGGCCCCCACCCCCACTGATAACACTCAAAACTCAGAAATGTGCGCTAGTAAGAGTAGGGTAGAGTAGGTAGAATACAGTAAGCGCCAGCTGTTTTACTTTTGTGTTTGTTATTGAACATTCATTTAGTTTTAATTAATTCAGACAAACGAACAGAAATACAGAGAGGGAGAGCAAAGAGTGAGAGATAAGAGTGCAAGCGGTGTGTATGGTGAGGGGCGGGACTGAAAACCCAACAGCAATGCAAATGCGAAAAACGCAATGAAAACCGACTAAAAATAAATAATGCTGACGTCAATATTGCGTAGAAGCGTCAGAGCTAAAGAAGCAGAGTAGAAGAGCGAGAGGGAGCGAAGCTAAAATCAGAAGCCAAAAACAAAATGCAAAAGTGATTGAAATTGATGGAAATGCAGTTGCCACCACTCGGCCGCCCTCCTGCTACTGCGAACGAGCTGGAGTGGTTGATGCACCGACTTTCGAATCCCCTTACGCAGAGGCAACTTCGCGCAAAAATCATACATTTGTATACATACATATGTATGTATGTACACATGTGTATCGAGAGTAAAATAATTACATGCGGACACACATACACTGGCAGAGTGCAGTCCAACTGGCAAACCCCATTACCCAGTGATGTCACCCGTTGTAAGACAGGTGTCACCATCCACCATGAGTCAGTCAGTCGCAGGGGCAGACAGCGCGGCGTGCTTTTGAGCCACAGAGAAAGGCAGGGTACCACACACGTGTCCCTGCCCCTACGAGAGTTCGAGCTGCGACGTAATTAATGGCAATTATTATATCACTAATCAAATGGATTTCCATTTGTAGTTCAGATTCCGTCGAGCCCGACAGACAGTAATTCTAGAACGGCAATTGCACACACAGCGCCATACAACGGAGAACAGTCATTTGCAATAGCGGCTAAAACGAGTTGCTAACATTCACTTTGATAAATGCACTAATTAGCCATTAAGCCGAAACTATTACAAGCCCTGTTTTTCTTTTTTTTGCGCCATTGATGGTCATTGATGCAGTTACACATTGGGGCCCCAACGCAAAGGCGCATTCATCATTTGATTTTAAATTTTGCCGCCAAATTTTTTCTAGATGTGACGTCATAGATTACTCATAGAACTTTAGCTTGTGCTGGTTGTTCCTGCATCTACATTTACTGTAATTAAGCAAGTCGAGGATAAAAACAATTGCATTAATTATTTAAGTAAAAAAAAAACGCATCAGGCATCGCCAGATATGAGAAAAATATTCATGGCAGTGAACGGAAACAGCGACTGGCATTGCGTGTGCTGTGGCGCGAGTAGCAGTCACAGTCACTGCTGCGCCATGCTGTCCATCACTATCGTTTCGATAACAGCGATTGGGTTGCCGCAACGCGCTAGTGCTTTTCAGGAAACGCACTAGCCAATTTTTCGTCAGATACCTCTGGTAGTTCTGGCAATAAAGTAGCAGCGCGAGTGAGAGCGAGCAAGCAATACTGGGGAAATTTTTGCGCAAAAACTGAGTTTATCAATAAATTGTTTTTAACAATCGCAGTGTTTGAGTCGAGCGCGTGTGTCCGAGCAACCTAAAGACAAATTCAATGAAGTGGCCATCGAGTGGCGCCGTCGCCGCCTAGTCAACTAAGTTGCCAGAGAGAGGCTCTCGGTGGAAGGAAAAAAGAACGTAAGCAGCAAAGAAGGCAGAGCAGCAGCAACGATAACAACAGGCCTAGTAGTGTGCTGCCAACTTGTCGAGCTGCCACCCCTCTCCTCCTCAGCACAATCACATAGCATTAGTGCCCTTCAGTACTTTATTGAGCATTATTTAAAAAATTCAGTACCAAAGGCTGATGTCTGAATATAGGCTGTGAGCGAATCCATTTGCTGTGACGTGACGTGCGGAATAGTGGACATTTTTTCAACAAGTTGCCAGCACAGCGTGCAACGCGCGCACACACACACACACACACACATACAAAAACACAAAAAACTTATACACAGAGCCCCCCAAAGAGAGGGAGAGCAGCAGCAACAACAAGCGTTTTTAGTGATGTCATCAGAAAGTAAGTTGATTTTTTTTTCTCCTCACTACGTTGTCATGACGTCATTTCATAAAAATACACAGCAGTTGCTGTTGCTGTTACTGTTGGTGTTGTTGTTGTTGCTGTGTCTCTGTGGCAGACTTCAATCATCATTATCATCAGCATCATCATCGTCTTGGGTGGACAAACAAAACAAAAGCCAACAGCAGTTGAAGAGTAGCAGCAGCGAGGGGCAGTCCGTCCGTCAGTCCATCAGTCAGTAGTTAGTAGTTAAATAGTTAGTCACTTGGTTAGTTGTTGCTGCAGTTGCACATGCACATGCATATTGCATATGCATATGTGGAATATGTGGATATTTACAATAGTGTAACTCGATATTTTGTCTTGCCCACCCACGCCTCTTGCAGTCGCCATTCCGCATAAAACGACTTCAAGCTGGCCAAATTGAAACGGAAACGGAAGCCAAACTGAAGCACTTGTCGGAGAGCGTAACGGTGCTGCTGAAAATCGCTAAAATGGACAACAGCATCGTCGTCGAGGAAAACGGCAATTCGGCGTCCAGCAGCAGCCTGGATGTCATTACGGCCGCTGCGCAGGCAGCGGCCGCCGTACATGCCGCAACGAGCGCCGCGCAGCAGCAGTCACAGAACCCACAGAGTACAACAGCGGCGTCCGCAGGCAACACAAATAATTCGGCTGGAACGGCCACCGTGCTGACCACGACGGCCAACTGCAATATACAATACCCGATCCAGGCGCTGGCGCAGCACGGCCTGCAGGTGAGTCGCTTTCCAGAGATTACATCCCATCCAAGAGGCGATCTTATAGTTCCTTTCTCGTTGCACCCCATCTGCAGGTACAATCCGTGATACAGGCGAATCCCTCGGGTGTAATACAGACAGCTGCCGGCACGCAGCAGCATCAGGCGCTGGCCGCCGCCACCGCCACAGCGATGCACAAGGGAGTGGGGGTGGTGTATGTCGCCAAGCCGCCCAATTCCACGGTTATCCACACGACCGCGGGCAATTCAGTGCAAGTGCGTAACAAAGTGCGTAGCTAGATAACCTTGAACGGGGGCCAGCAGCCTCTCTAATCTTGAAAATTTCACTCTCTATCACAGATCCCTCCAACTTTTCCATGTAAGATCAAACCCGAACCGAACAGCCAGCACCAGGAGGATAGCGACGAGAGTTTGTCAGATGACGACTCGCAGCACCATCGGAGCGAGCTGACACGGAGGCCATCGTACAATAAGATCTTCACCGAGATCAGTGGACCTGATATAAGCGGTAAATTCATGGGCAGAAACGACATGTACACGCTATCGCTAGCTCAAAACGCACATATCTATCGTTCTGTTGTCTCTCCCTCTGTCCTTGAACACATGTAACCAACCCAACTGCCTGCCCAAACTTCGATCTTTCGCCATCGCACCACCACATGCGCTGCACTCATCGCGCTACATCGATCACTAAGCGATCATTAATCGATCACTCGATCCGATAGTAACCACATTCCATACTCATAGATGCATACATACATACATGCATACATACATACACACACATGAATACATCCATATGTTTAAAATATTGATTATCAATTTGTATGTAGATAGAGTTTTCCCCTTTGTATTTCACTCATTGCCCAATTCATTCGCACTCGATGTCCAAGCCCCATGTACCGTTAAAAAAGGCAGCCATACAAGAGTGAACCCGTTAGCCCCCGTGAGTCTTGTGTGTCGCGCCATCTCTTTCTTGCCCGTTTCTTCATTATCATTTAGTTGTTGTTGTTGGATGTTGATGTTGTTACTTAATCAAGAATCAAAATAGTAATGAGTAGAGAAGAGAGAAAGGAGAGGAGAGGAGAAGCAACCAATCCTGTAAATATATATCCCTCCATAACATATCCCATTACGCACAATCCGTGTGACGGGGGAGCAAGACAGCAACAGAAGCAGAAAGAAATGTGTTGCTTCTCTCGCTCCCACACACACACACACTTCATCGGTATCTCTTTCTTTCTCTGTCTTTGTTGTTGTTATGGTTGCTGTTGTTGCTCAAACCCCAAATAAACCCCCTCCCACCCACCACCACCATGCCAGAAAATAAGCCTTGCCCTCCTGCTCCTCCTCCTCCTCCTGAAGGTATATTAAACAGAAGGATACGATAGTCGCTTTACATTTTTCTCGGACTTGGGACGACTGCTGCTTTACACTTCTGCTTAATATACGAAACTGTTTCTCGTCACCTCCTAACCCGCTCCTAACTAAAATCAAAGAATCTAATCCTAGGCCAATCTCTCGCTGTTGTATCCTTTCTCACTCTTAACTTAACTAACTCGCCGATATCGCCCGCTCTTACACGCACTAAACCACCCACCCACCTCTCAGACCATAATCAAAAACAAAAAGATTCAAAATTCAATCTAAAAGTCTGCGATGAAAAACGCAAATGGAAAATATGTTTTTCTTATAATTTTTATTGTTGTTTTTCTTATTGTTTTCTTTATGACTGCCTTCTCCTACTACTCCAAAAAACTACTCTAAATTAAATTATGTCCAAAACAAAAACTGGGTGCATTTTTCAACCAACCAACAAACCAACAACCGAAACAACAACTGCAACAACATCAACAACAACAATATCCCCCTCCAACAACCAACCAACAACAATTCCAACTATGAACCAAACCAATATCCCCGATTGGTCGATCAGGTTCCTCGCTGCAAATGGGGTCCGATGGGTTGCTCGGCTCTCAGCTGGCGGCAGGCGGAGCAGGCGGTAACTCGGCGAACAGTTCACTGCTGCACATGGCCCCGGAGTCGGCATATTATTTGACCAATCGGATACCCTACAACACCAGTAATAACCAGAGCCGAGGCTCCGACATCCTCTCCTCCATCCACATGTGAGACATTCCCTCAGACAAAACTAATTTTTGTTCTCTCTCTTTTCCATTTGCATGTTCCATGTACCATTTTCCATGTGGGAATCGCAGACAACAGCGGGATAGCGGAGGATCAGACGCGCAAGCGGGAGATCAGACTGCAGAAGAATAGAGAGGCGGCAAGGGAGTGCCGGCGCAAAAAGAAGGAGTACATCAAGTGCCTGGAGAATCGCGTGGCGGTGCTAGAAAACCAAAACAAAGCGCTTATCGAGGAGCTCAAGTCGCTGAAGGAGCTCTACTGTCAGACCAAGAACGATTGAATGTGGCCTTGGCTGTGGCTGTGGTCATGGCGCTGGCGATGGCAGTGCCGGTGCCGAGTCCGAGGCCAGCAGCAGCAGCGGCGGCAATGTCCACGTTCGAAGACGAGTCCCGATGGCCATGGCGATGGAAATAGTCGGCCGCATATCATGATTTACATACATATAGTAGAATGCTATATGTAATCGTACATATATACTATATAGTGCAATGATCATGTTCTTGTTAGGACAAGTACACTGAACCGAACCGAACAGCCTGACAGAACAAACAGACGGACGGCGACGGCAACAGCGACAGCGACACGAGCAGGACACAATGTAATTATGTTTATAATTTAAATTTTAATATTATGTTTATGCTTTAGTTTACGCCTTAGTTTATTTGCTAATTTAATGAAACTGCAGTTGACCTATCCATGTCCCTTGTGTTTTTACATCCTATATATAAAAATCTGTTTCTATATTCTGCTGTATGCTGCCGTCAGACGATTACCTTTTCATCGTCGTCGGTGATTTTTGCCATTTCCTCGAAAACCCAACTCCATTGACCCCTTTTCCACACCTTTACATCTAATATAATTTTTTTTTACTTTATTAATGGTAGTCCTCAATGCGATGTTGGTTCGTTTTTTCAGATTTTGTAGATTGATTAGCTCATTTTTTTTCTTTTTTAAATGCATTTTACGCTTTACACCAGCGACATACTATTTTTATACCCGTACTCAAAGAGTTAAGGGGTATATTGTACTTGTGGTAAAGAGTATATAGTATTTGTGGTAAAGGTGGATGTGTGTAACGCCGAAAAGGAAACGTTTCCGACCCCACAAAAGTATATATATTCTTTATCAGCATCAATAGCCGCGTCGATATAGCCATGTCTGTCTGTCCGTCTTGTTTGTCGCCTAGTTCTCAGAGACTATAAGAGCTAGAGCAACCGAATTTTGTTTCCAGACTCATGTGATATCACACTGCTACAAGTGTATTTTAAAATTTCGCCCATTGCGCCCCACAAAGGACGAAAATCTGTGGCAGCCACAATTTTAAAGATACCAGAAAAGTAAAAGCGTAGTATCGTAGAGAATGACCTTATCTACCAGATTGTCGAATCTGAATTAAATAGGATCATTATTATAGCCAGAATAAAGAAAATAATTTTCAGTTGCTTCCCCCACCTCTTCCAGCACGAGACCTAGCTACTCATTTTTTTTTCTCGCTTGCACACACTCTGCCCTGTGCAATGCGCGACCTTTGCGGAGAAGATGTAGAATCTACATTGTGTACGTAGAATATAGATTTTAAATGTGGAATTGACATTGGAGCAAAAAAATGTAAAATTTAAAATATTTTAAAATGAAACATAAGTCATAAGCTCACAAATTTATATACTGACTGAGTACGGGTAGAAAAGTAGAGTCGCGTCCACAGAAGCGACTAGCACGTTCCTTCTCGTTGGTATTGCCTTTAAAGAAAAAAAGATTGATACAAATAAATAAACCAATTGATAAACAGCTGATTGAACAAAACAGCTGTTTCGGATTTTCTACAGAGAAAATACCTTTCAGGAATACCCTATAAATATATACATAAAGCGTATGGCAATTCTAAGATTCGTCCAAACACCTCTTTCAGCATTGGAGCAATGCCAATTCCCTTACGTTTGTCCATGAGAAGCGCTCAATATTACCGATGAAAATATATGAGAAATCCGATCAATGACGGCAGCTTATACGACTATACCTCTATCCCTCCTCACCCTTTCTGTTTTTTTTTTTTACTTAATACTAAATACGAAAACTTGAATAGAAAAAGTGTTAAAATTTTGTAGAGAAATTATATAACTGATGTAAGTCCCCAACACACACCACACAGGCAGAACAAAATCGGTAGATATTGATAGAGAGAGAGAGAGCTCTTAGCAAAATTTATTCTCCCCTGAAGAAATTGTTTAAAAACTGAGAACTTTCAGCTTTTTTTTATATATATGTATGTATTACCATGTGTGTATGTGTGTGTGAAAAGAGAAATTTAACTTTAAAATTAAGTTTGAATCGGCTTGAAAGTTTTGTAAAGTAGAGGTTAGATCGATCAATCAATCAATCAATCAAACAGTCAGTCAGTCAGTCAACGATAATGAATTATTGAGAATTTGTTGCATCATTTTAAACCTCCTCCCGCCGCCTCGCCCACTAGCCTCCCTAGCCAAGGCGACCTGGAAGGATTTTCTCTGAAAAAAAAAAAAAAAAAAACAAAAAAAATGTATATTTAATTATATATGTATATGATATACGTAGTTAGCGAATATTTGTACACTATTTGTATTTGTGGATCGCACTCGGAGAGGGTTGGACGGGTGGACGACAGAGCGGTGTCGGTGTTCCATTTCCGGATCGAGGGATACCATACATACATTATTTACATACTATAAAGCAAAACTCTCGTTATCTCTTGTGATCAACTCAGTTGTTGTTATGAAAATGATACAAATTGAAAAGAAATCGAAAACATAAATAATAAATAAATCATAAATTTGTATGAATGGAGGATATGCATGGCAGGCAGGATAAAAAAATCGGGAATTAGGCAGAGGGACTTTTTTATATGTACAATATCGAGTAGCGAAACAAATGGAAAATGGAAACAATGTCAAAATAAAGCGGAAACAAAAACCCGGATAAATCAATGCATACGTCAATGTATAGTACATTAAAGCTCTTTATAAAGATTATATACATACATGATGAATCTATATGTACAAGTATATATATACCTTCGGATCTATATCTATAGATCCATTTATATCTCTCTATTTTTGATGTCCAAATCAAAACTTCTGCAAAACTTCTTCAAAGAGAAACTTTTTTTGGTAGAATCAAAAAGGACAAACAAGAAGAAGGAGGAAGGAATGCGAAAGAAGAGAAATAAGCAACAGAAAAGTTGCATTCAACAAAGTAAATAAAATATTTTTATTGTCATTGCATAATTCTTAAGCTAGTAATTTTAAAATGTAAATCATAAGTGGCGAAAAACAAATAAAAACAATGAAAAAAAAAGAAGAAAACGCAAGGAACAAAAAGGATAAACGGATTAGGGCCCGAACGATGACAAAATTAAGGAATGTAACAAACAAAAAAGAAACGGAAACTGAAACTGAATGCGAGGAAGATTAGCAAACAAATTAAAATGAAAGCAAAGCAAAACAAAACAAAACAAAAAATCAGTAGAAATTACAATATTGTTATAAATATTTGTCTCAATGAGAAAACAACAAACAAAACAAAACAAAAGAAACGAAACAAACAAACCAGCTAAGAAAATAGACAAAAAATCAATAAAAATAATTTAAAAAATAAAATTTCTATTTATTTACATATAGTATGTACAATATGGCTCAGATGCACTTAAGATCATATTATGGAACTAACATTCTCATATTATGGAAGTATTCCTTACACAAAAACTTGCAAATTTTGGATTAGGTTCTAGCTGTTCCTGTTCCTGTTCCTGCTAGTAATACGACATACATATGTATGTATGATGTAGGATCCACTGCTTGGTTTCCCAACGAGACGTCTCTGCCAAAAGGATCGGCTTACAATACCACACAGAGCTTGTAGGAAAAATTCTTCTGTCAGTCAGAACAATAGACCGATTCTCGCACTGATTGCATTACTTGGCAGACATCTCCATCGTTCTCCGGCCCCAGCATCTGTCCCTCTCTGAACCATGGGCATCTTCCGTGTTGCTCTGTTCAGCATCTGCATCTGCATTTCAAGGCTTTCATGAAACGCCTTCCCAATTGAAACGCTTCACTTTTTAGCACCGATGGTCACGTTCCCTTGGACCGCCCCACCCGCCACCCCACTCCAAATCTCACATTGCGGCGTGACCATTCGACACGGAGCCGTTTCACAGATTCAATTATAATTTTAAGTACTTCATACACAATATACACAAACAGATACATGCGCTATAGTAGCTACACGAATACACACGAATACGCTATACAGATATACATACAAAAGTACAGTTAGATTCGAATGGCGAATTCAGAATTCAAATACGTGTAGATCAGTTCTTAAGGGGGGGACTCTGGTCCCGCCGCCGCCTAGGAGATGAACAAGTAGAGGAGGAACATGCCGAAGCTGATGTAGTGGCTCAGGTAGCCCGCCTCCGACCAATGCCACACGAAGGACTCTACCCCGCCGACGTGACTGCTGTCCAAGTTAAGGGTCTCGTTGAGCAGCACTATGCCCAGGTAGGCCAGGTGGAATATGGCGCACAGGGTGAAGATCAGATTGGTGAGCCGCACCAGCCAGCCGCAGCCGCTGGTCCAGCCACGACGTCGCGGACAGCGGGAGAAGCGACAGCTGTCGGGACCCTTGCACTGACCGGCCGCCAGACAGGCATCGAGAAGGTTGGCCAGGTGGCGGCGCAGCAGCCGCTCGCTCTCAGCGAAGATGGCCAGGAAGAGCAGGACCATGTAGATGCGCAGATCCATGCCGTGCAGCAGACTGGACACCACATACGTGCAGAGGACGGCCCAGAAGGTGTGGCCCAGTTTGTGGTCCTTGAAGCCTCCGTAGATGTATTGCTTGAGCCACTCGTGCATAGGGATATTCCAGCTGCGAACAAGGACGCTCAACGAGCGGGGCCACTCGATCTGCCAGGGCCGCGTCACCAGCGGGCCCAGTAGCCTCTCGTCCAGCTCCTTGGAATCCTTGGAGTCTCCGTCCAGGGTCTGCCCCGAGCTGAGCAGCAGAGCTTGGGCCATGAAGCTAACAAAGTAGTGGCTGCTCCGGACACCCAGCGCCTCCGTGTACATAAGGAGGAAGTGTGAGCCGCTGGCAATCTCACCCAGGGCGTGGGCCAGGCAGTTGGAGACGGCCACCGCCAGCAGGCAGAGCAGCATGTTGAGCATCAGCTGGCGCAGCGTGACCAGCCACTTGCCTCGTGCGACAAGGCACTCCACGTAGCGACCATAGCTGATCCAGGGCCCGAGGGCACAGGTCGCCGGGCTGTAGATGTATCCAAAGTAGGCCAGGGGGCCCGGCATCCGCGGCACCTGTCCGCTGGCCAGGTCGAAGCCCAGCGAGATCAGCTTCATGTTTACCACCATCTGGACGCCCCGTAGCTGGGGCCAGTCGCTGCGCTGTCTCCATATGGCCAGCTCGTACAGGAACTGGCTGCCAACGGTGAGCACGGCTATGCTGGTGGCGGCCTTCCTTCCGCTGTACATACGCACCAGCTGCAGCAAAAGGTAGCCAAGGGTGCTCAGGATCAGCAGCAGGCCAACGCGCTCGCCCATGCGCTGGCCGAGCGTGGCGTACAGCAAGATCAGACCGGTGGTGGCGTGGATCAGGTGCAAGGGAGCCACGGCGATACTGTTTGCATCGCGCAACGACACTCCGGCTGCCGGCAAGCGGCGCTTCATGGCATAGAGCAGGCAGAGCAGGCGTCCGACCAGGCACAGGCCCAGCATAGGTGTCACGTACTTTGCTACTTGCAGCAGCGAAGGCTGCACGCAGGCCTCTAAATTCTGCGCCAGTCGATCCATCACCAGAAAGTCTTTCGCCTCCGGCTCTGCATCGCTGTAGAAGTTGTCCTGCCTGTGACCACTATGGAAGCCGTAGTCGATACCGCCGCCAGCTTCCTCCGCAAACTCTATGTAGTCGATGTCATCTCCTTCGTCGTAGTAGTTGTAGTCCATGGCTGACTGCGGCTACGGCAAGCAGCTCGGGACGGTTAAAATCGCATTGGGGCTTGGAGCTGCTGCTGTTAAAGTGACTTCGTCTCGCGCGTATCTATGCTGCCGATAACTCTGATGGCTGCAATCGATTTCGTGAACTAGATCTCAGTTCAGTGGTTCGGTTCGCAACAGCTCGATAGAACTACGACAAGAAACAAAATACATATAATTGTTGTTGCGTACTGTGTTTGTGATTGATTCATTGAAAACATTCAAACTTCATTTCAATTTTCGGTAAATCGCCTGCTTAAATTTGTGTTGTTGCCACCAGTGTTTTTGTTGTTGTCACTGTAATCGAACTAGCTTCGCGTTGATCAAAGTTCACGTAAATCATTTGCTTGTTTTGATAGTTTATATCAAATTTAAACAAATTTAAAGATGACCCGTCATGCTCGCAACTGCACCGCCGGAGCCGTTTACACTTACAATGAGAAGAAGCGGGACGCCGCCGAGTCCGGGTACGGAACAAATGCGCAGCGCCTGGGCAAAGACTCTGTGAAGTCGTTCGACTGCTGCTCGCTGACGCTGCAGCCGTGCCGCAACCCTGTCATTACCAAGCAGGGGTACCTGTTCGACAAGGAGGCGATCCTGCAGTACATCGTCACCAAGAAAAACGAATACAGCCGCAAGCTGAAGGAGTACGAGCGCCTGCGACGGGTCGAGGAGGAGGAGATCACCCAGGTGGCCAATTGCAAGCAGCAGGCCCGCATGGAGCGATTCGTCAACTCCGAGAAGCCAACCACAACGCCTGCCCACAAGTCCAGCCCAGTCGAGCAGCCCTCCCTATCCACGGCCAGCACTTCGGCAGCGGCCATAGCCGCCTCAGCTACCGGATCCATTTCGAACATGGCCAACGGGAACCAGAAGAAGCTTCCCGCCTTCTGGCTGCCGTCCGAGTGCCCCAATGCCGGGGCAGCCAAGGCTAAGAAGCCCGATGCGACCATTTACTGTCCCGTCTCCTCACAACCGCTTAAGGTGAAGGACCTGTTTGACGTGAAATTCACTCCGATCAAGGATGGCGACGCAAAGAAGTCTCTGATTGCCAAGGAAGTGCGCTACATGTGTCCCATTACCCACGACGCGCTCAGCAACGCAGTGCCCTGTGCCGTCCTGAGGCCGACGTGAGTTTCGACCAAAGACCAATGTCGGATTAAGCCTGTTTGGCACTTTCTTACGAATCTTTGCATATCTTTGCAGTGGCGATGTCGTGACACTGGAATGCGTGGATAAACTGATCCGGAAGGACATGATTCACCCACTCACCGATCGCAAGCTCAAGGAAAAAGACATTATTCCCCTGCAACGCGTGAGTAGAAATCGGGCATTTCCGATTCTATATCTATGTATACATACATATGTGTATTTTATGTATCGTTTTTGTTACACAGGGCGGCACTGGCTATGCAACTACCAACGACAAGCTGTCGGCCAAGGAGCAGCGACCCATGTTGCAGGTCTAAGAACTTGTCTACTCAAAAATCAAACCTAAAACACGTTAAATGGTCATCATTTTCTGGAGTTCTTGCCTCAGGATTCACAATAATAACTTACATTTACATATATACAGATATGTATGTATGTATGCTCACGCGATTTGAGTTTCCTGAAAGCATTTCGGATCATATCTTCGAACTGCTTTTTCTTGAAGTACTCCCCACATACACCACATTTTAGCAATGCAGTAATTATTCCTTCTGACAACATCTTCGAGTTAGTTAAGTAAGTTAATTTAGCTTTAAGCACACACATTTGAATTTTCTTTACTTATTCAGCAAATAAAGAAAGCAACAATTAATATTCCTATGTTTGAGCCAACGCACGGCAGGGCACCCAGTCCCAAAAAACTCTCGCGTATTTTTTGGGTTAAGGTATATAAGAAATGTATATTGAATGTATCATCATATGTATAGCATGCAATTTGAAGTAGCTCCAGGGATGCATTTAAAAGCGGCTCTTGGGGGGTGGCTGTTTGTCCACTAGGCCGCCTGCACGGACTGCTTTTGAGAGGAGCTGATCTTGTCGCCCAGACTCAAGGCCATACCCTGCGGACAGATGGAGAGAGAGAGAGCATGAAGGAGAGATCTTGGATTGGGGCGAGGGTTTTGCTCATTCTTACCTGACTCTTGGCGCGTATACGTATGTGGCCTGTCACCTTAGAGTCGGGGTCATCGACGGGCTTCTCAATACTCAGGTTGGCCAAGGCATTCTCACCGAAGATGGATCTAAGGCGGGGAAAGTTATTATTTTTCTGGATACTCTGAAGGAGACTCCGCGAACGGCCGCCACACTCACTTGGCATACATGTTGGCGGCCATGAAGCCGCACTGGCCGGACAGGGCCTTCTCCGGCGTGAGGCACTTCATGTTGGTGCTCTTGAGCAGGTGCCTCAGATACTCGTGCAGGTCGGTGAAACTCGTGTTGACGGTGACCTTGTTCTCCCACTCGAAGTCCTGCCACATCTGACGGAACTCAGTGTCTGTGCAGCTGGCCGGAATGATGTAGTCCATGATGTCGATGTGTATGGTGTTGAGCACGACCACGTTTGTGTTGAGAGCAGTGTCGTACACTGGAAGGAGGGGAAAAACATTCATTCATTGCGGGAGCCACTCCCACGGCAGCTGCAACTCTGACACTCACCGATGTTGCCAAAGATTATGCCGTTCTCTGTGGAGGAGACCTTCACGTTGGCCTTTATGTTGCAGAAGTCGTGGGGAGCCAGCACAACTGGATGTGGGCGCTCTACCAGCTTCAGATCGCCCAGCGTGGCCAGCTCCAGAGTGCAGTTCTGCAGGGTATCATCTGCAAAGGGGGTCAAGAAAGATGTATAGTACATATCCTTAGAAGGGGCTAGGGACAGAAACTGCCATGACGACGACTCACTTGTCTGGTTGACGATGAGTACGTCCAGGACAATGTCGTACTGATTAACATTGACGTAGGCCTCGGCGTAGACCGGATCCGAGAAGCCCGTCAGCTGGGTGACCTTGTTGAGTTTGTTGTTGGGCGAGGAGATGTCGCTGAGCTGGGCCGTCTTGGTGCCGGCCAGAGCCTGATTCAGGCTGGACTCGAACACGTTCTCGCCCAGCTGGTTGTCGCGTCCATTGGAGAGCTGGGCGAAGAGGACCGGATCGTCTGGCTGGACCTTGGCGGTGGCGCGCTGCTTCTCCTTGAGCACGCGCTGGTCCTCGTCGTGCTGGGCATCGAGCATCTTGCCCAGAGCCTCGCGGCAGTAGTGCATGAACACGGAGACCGCCTCCGGGGTGCGTTCGCTCAGCGTGCGCAGGCAGATGAAGATGCGATCGGTGTCGTCGTTGGTGATCGGCTTGCTGGGGAATCCGGACTTTCCCAGATGCAGGATAGAGCTCATGATCAGCATCACTCGCGTGGTCAGGCGATTCTGGGCACTCGACTCTGGCTGCAGCTCCACGTAGCGCAGGGCCAGCTTGGTGAGAGTGGCTGACAGGGCGGCGCCAATAAAGAAATCGCCGTCCATCAAGTACTGCCGCAGCGGCGGACGCTTCTCTGCCTTGGCTACCCTGTTGGAGCGAGACAAAAATGGGAACGCAAATTGAGGGAATCTGTGAATGCAACCGCGACGACGGGACTCCGGTGTGGGGACTACTTACGGGGCCAGGCTATAGGCACTCTGGGTAGCATAGGTGCCATCGGAGGTCACCTTGTTGATGGCATTGCTTGTGGTGGTGGTGGTGCTGCTGCTGCCATCACCGGATGCGCCTCCTGTTGCGGATCCCTGCTGCTGGTTCTGCTCATCGGTCGGGTCACCAGATAGGCGACGCTGCTCCGCCTCCACCATGGGAATGTCGCCGAGCGTCTGCTGGATGGCGTCAATAACCTCGAGAATCTGCGGACCCTCCACATACTCGCCCAGGATCCACACGGCGGCACGGTGAATCTTTGAGGATTTGATCTGAGGGAAAGCCTCGATGAGGTGCTCGATGATGAGAGCGCTGAGGGCCGGGAACTTCTGGATTGCTTCGCGTATGAAGATGAGCACATCGGCGGCGGCCAGCTCGTTGGTGTCCGAGAGGAACTCCACCAGGACGGGAATTACGGTGGCGGCCACGTCGGGGAACTTGATGGAGCAGGTGTGCAGGGTACGGACGAGCAGCTGCCGGTACTTGCCAGTATCCTCGTGCTCCACGTTGTGCGTTTTGGCCACCTCCTTCTTGAGCACCAGCACCATCTCGCCGATGTTGCGCGAATAGACCAGGTCCATGGCCAGGGCGAGTGCCTTGCGGCGCACCTCGATGTCGGGGGCGGCCAGGACACGCAACACGTCCATGACCAGGTCTTGCATGACCTTATCCATGTTCTCGTTCTCCTTCATGGCAATCAGCCGGTCCAGGACAATGAGCTTCACGTTGTTATCGCTCTCCTTAACGATCAGCTCGATGTAGCAGCTGGCGGCGGCCTTGATGGCGGTGGGGGCCAGCGAGAGGGTGATGAGCGTGCCGGCGGACTCGTATCGGACCGCGTTGGAGGAGGAGTTAAGTAGGTTGTAGATGCAACGGATGAAGCGCGACCGCTCGGCGGGATTGGCATGACACACCTTGTAGATGAGCTCAACAATCACCAGCTGCAGGATGTCGCCGAAGCTGTGCACCTGGTCAATGCACGAGGCCAGGTAGTTGAGGGCGCGCTCCTGGTCGGCGTGGAGCAGCATGAGAAAGGCGTTCCTCTTGCACGACATGTCCTGCTGTGTGTCCAGGAAGTTGGCGATCAGCTCCGGCCCGTCCGGCACCAGCCAGTCGAAGTTCTTGTAGATTGTGAAGATGGCGAGGACCGCGTTGCGGCGCACATACGAATGACGGTGGTCCAGGCAAGCCCGGATGGCGGGCATCAGGGGCTCTAACAGCTCTGGCTCCTTCAGCTTGCAGAGGAAACGCAGTGTGGAGCCACGCAGAAACTCGTTCGGGTGTTGCAGATCCTACACAAAATATAATAAACCACAAATCAGCACAGATGACACATTACTGGCATGCGTAGGGCCACGTTGCACTCACCTTGCGGTAGGCGTCGCACACGAGAATCATTTCCTGCAGCAGTTTGCCGTCGCCCGAAGTCTTGGGCACAATCTCCCAAAAGATAAGCAGCAGCTTCTTTATTGTGTGATCCTGCACGGGCAGCACGAACCGGATGATGGTCATGATCAGGCCCGGGTAGCGCTCGCCGTTGAGCAGCAGCTTGATCACCTTCTTCAGCGTCTCGATCTTGTGGTTCGTGTCACCCTTTTCCAAATCTTGTTTCAGCTGCATCTCGTTCGGGACCTCCAGGTCCGGCGAGTTAATTATCGTGTAGCACGGTACTTGGCTCATCCTGGCTAGCGTATCCCGACTGCTTGTCAGGTGTCAAGGGGATATTTTGTAGTTTCGGGTGACGTTACGTCTTTTTCCTGGTTTTGATTTCGCTTTTTGTGTTCTTTTCTGTCCGGCTTGACGTGTCCAATCAGTGTGACTGAACTTCAGAAATATACCGTAAAATACTACAAAATTGATTTAGTATACCATATTAAATACCAATATACCAAAAATCATGAATGAGTAAACAACCTTAGCCCACTTAACTCCAATCTATTTATAAAGTTAAACCGATTGCGTTAAGCCGCGGAAAAATATACTGTTTGAAATGTTCCTCGTAGATTCATATCCATCCATTTTTGCTAGTAGCCAGTGGGGTGACCAGAGGTGTGCACTGCATTTCGTACGGTTACACTGCTCAGACAGCTGTTTCGCTTTAAACTTTAGTGACAAAGCTGAATTTGACACGAAGGAACGGCCGTTTGCCAATAATTTAATTCAAGCGATCTGGATTTTGTATGTACGAGTATATCGTTATTACTGTTTGTATTGGTTTATTATCGTTATTCCTCTCGTTTTCTACTATATATACTATGTGTATGTGTAATGTATATCATCCCTGTTTATGCCAGCAAATTGTACATCCATTTGAATATTATGCCAAAACGTCCAGATGTTGCCAGAAGTATTATAACCAAGTATTATACAAGAAGGTATGGATAGCAAGGGATAAACCCAGCAACATAAGTGGCATGCTATGCGAACCTCACCTCACCTTAGATTCCGATATGCCATGTAGGTTTACAGCCTTCACAGCATGTTGAATAAGCGAGTGAGCTGCACCTTGCGTGCGTTGTGCTTTCCCGGTCTTTTTGCCTGTTGTCCATACCTTGTTTTTCAAACATTTGTTGCCGAGCAACATCTGAAGTCGGGCGTATTTGAAAGAAACGGCCTTGCCGCCCCCAAATGTGAGCATGAATGAACGGGCCGCGGACAAGGAAACGCAAAAAGAAATGTCGAATTTTGTTCCAAAATCATAAAACTTGTTTCCGTTGATATATCCAACAACAAAAAGTATCACCTGCGACTATATCATCTACAAAAGTATATATATATATAGAATATTCAATATCGGTGCTTCGCTGCGGTTTCACGACCATCGCTTTGCTCAATTTCGATTCGGATCGGCGGCCTTTTTTTCGCATTCAAGACTTTGGCGCGCTTTGAAAATTGTTCGAAAACTACAATCAAAATTGTTGTTCGTTTCTCGTTTTTCTGATTGGTTTGTGTTGTGCGACAATGTGTGTCGTCCAGGACCCAAAAGGGCCTAGCCCCTAAGAACAAAACAAAAATCCTACTAAAAATCATACAAAAATTAAATAAATAAAACAAAATATATACGTAAATAAATAAATATAATTGTAAAGTTTGTTAGTCAGTGCGAAAAGGCTTTCAAATCATGCCAGTGAAGACAGGTGCCAATGGCGGCGACTACGACTCCCAGGATGAGGCCAGCACTGAGCTGCTGGAAAAGCTGAAGCATCTGGATCGTCGTGTGGATGCCGTCGAGGGTGGCGGCTCTGGCGGCCTATGCGGCCGTCGATCGTCCTGCTGGCAGTCGATGAAATGGAAATCTGCACTCAATCATATCGGATTGCTGGTCTCCCTGTCCATCTATTGCGGCGTGGGCGGTTTGGTAAACACGTTTTTCCTCTTCTCATACATAAAATGTATTTCAATATTAAATTCGATTTCTGCGGCTATCCGTCTTGCGACCTGATTCTTTGTTAGGGAATATGAACAAACATAAAACAATAGCGCAATGCCAAAAACTGAAAATTGTTCAACGTTTAAATAGCGTTGTGTTTGCTTTTGGGGGAGGGTGGGGCAAAAACAAAACACAAAAACACCAATGTGGGAACACCCAAAATATTTATTGCACTGAAAATACTAAAAATTAGTTCAAAAATGAAGACATAAAAACTATTTTGTACATTTAAGTACCAGACGAACGAACACCCTCTCGCTCACCCCAAACTGCTAATTGCCATTGCACATCCATCACAGATGGATACGTACCGTACCGTACGGACGGGTCTGAAGCAGACGATGGGTATTGGCGAGGGAGCCCCGCTGGAGGAGATGCAACTGCATCATTGAGGTCTCTGGCTCGAGACCCGGAGGCAGTCCATGTGTGACCGCTGAAATATGGAGGGACCCACGGACCAACGGACCATCGGACCATCGGTCTGCCCATCCGTCTGTGGGTCTGTCCTGTCCGTCCATTGAAATGGTCGAATGCTGTTGGCTCTTGTCTAAACATTTACATTTTCGCCAATGACGTCGTCGAGTCCGCTGGGCGAAATAGGCGCACAGATCCAAAAAATTGATGCCGTCAGTAGTCCATGGATGCAGCTGGGGCAGCAAATACAGGCAGTAGGGAAAGCTAACCCCCCCCCGCCCCAATATCGTGGTTTCCTACGACTTGACATATGGTTGAGTGTCGTGACGGGAAGGTATTTGTTATATTGCCTCTCAATTTCCCTCAAGCATTAGCATTTGCAGGGTGGGGGCTATTGCTGGGTAGGTAGGAATTTTAGCATGAATGCTTGGCTGTCCAATGATTGAGTTGAATGAACGATACAGATACTGCCAGTTTCATGAATGATTTTAATCGTTTAAATATGTTCATAAGCATGAAAATATGTACATTAGGCTGGGCCAAAATATGACCAAAAAATTAATTTTTTGGGGGGACACCCCCCCAATTCTATTCTTTGTTATTCAATAAAATTATACAATTTTTTTTTCAAATTTTTAGTTGAATGTTTGGGGGTTGCTACCTCGAAAAGAAAATAAAAACTTTTTGAGTAAATATACATTAAGAAAAATTTAATTCGTCGGTTTTTCCAAATAATATTGAAACTTAGAAACTAGTTCATATTGAAAATAAGGTATTTTGAATTTTTTTTTTAGTTTCTGTGAAAAAATTAACGATAAGTGAAAATCATGAAGTTTGGCTGAGGTTGATATATTTAGTTAACTAGTTAGTTAATGACGATATGAATGGTATCAATATATATGCAATAGATTTCACAAATTATTAACTAGTTAGTTAAGCAACAAATTTTTTTTGGAATTTTCTTGATTACATTTTTTGTTAAATTCGGTAGCAAACTCTAAAAAATTAAAAAAAAAAATTAAAAACATTTAAATTACTATTAAGGTAACAAAAATAGGGGGTGTCCCGTTTGAATTTCGAAAAAAATATTTTTTGGCCCAGCAAAATGTACATATACATACATATGTACATATGTATGTATGTTGAGTTATTATTGAATATTTTGAGTCAATTTATTTTTAAGAGCTGAATAAATTTTAGTTTTACATGCAGACAATATTATTTAATTCGAATAGTCTAACTGATGATTCATGATGCTGCCTCTGATACTTCTGGGCAATATCAAATTTATTCCCAACTTGACTCCGTCTCTCATACTACGCTCAACCCAACATCGACCCCGTCAACACCTTGCTTATATATCTGGCAATTTGCAAAGATTTCGGGCAACAAAAGCCATGCATTAATCAAGCAACACATTCGCATTCATACGAATTATCAAAGAGCCCTCCTCCTCCTTCAACGACCTCCGGACCCTTCGATATAAGTGCCCCCATCACAGCTATCCAGCCCAGTCCATCCACTGACCATACACACACACACACACACACACACACACCACATGTTGGCCAATTATGCACACTTCTTGGCCAAATTGCTCATCAAATTTGTTTCAAATTCACAATTTTTCAAGAGAGAAACGATAGAACAAGCAAAAAAAAGCATTTGCTTTATGTTCTGTGCGGGTTGGGGCCTTTTGGATACTTGGGGCCTCCGTCGTCGATGTTCATTTGATCGCGTTGCCCCCGCGCAGTCCAACCAGTTCCTCCGCTGATGAGAAGTGAACTGTTTGATGGGTTGGCGGGTGGGGGAATTGTTCTTGAAAAGTGCCACAAACATTTGGCTTCGATTGGAATTTTGATTTTCTCAATGCAATTCGTTTGGGCTTCATTCCACCCACCGTTCGCCACCAAACACTTCTACCTTCATATACGAGTATCTACAATGAATCGGCATTCATTGCGCCAAATGAAACGGAAATGAATTTACCGGACCAGTCTCACCCACGGACCCAACTGTCCACATCAGCATATCAGATAACTTGCAAGTTTTTTCCAGGTTATTTTCTTATTTTTTTTTTCGTTTTCCTTTTTACTGCGGAAAGCAACACAAAACTTTTGTCAAGGGATTTGCCATTGACCCCTTCACAGTATCAAATGATTTGGAAAAGTTTCCTTCTGTATAAAACCTCTGATGACAGCTCGAATTGGTGGACTTTCTGGGAATTTTGGCTTAATAAAAAAGTTATTTAGCGAGCTCTGATTGTCTTTTAAGTGCGTTTAAAAACTAAATAGAAGTGTCTCAACTGATTGAGTTAAGATTGCCTATCATCAAAAATGTGGCATAAAGCATTTTTTTCAATCTGTTTAAGTTTAATGAACCCAATCAAATATTAATCATAAATTTACAATTTATTCTGATGTGCTAGCTTATGACGGGTAAAATGTGTTTATATATTTTTAGATTTCTCATAACACAGCGACTTGAATATTTTTAGACTGTTGTGGTTTCGGAAAAGCTATTTTCGAATTTCGCTAATTTGATTTGGACCATTGTTTAATTTGTGTTGCTAAATTTGTTTAACAATTCGTAGAATTTTTGGCTCAAATAAAATCAAATCACAAGTTAGTACACGGTAAAAAACGCACATGAAATGTTGAAAATTTAATCCCAATAAAAACTATAGGTACATTTTACATATGGATTCTTGCTTATTAAATCAGGAAAAACGGCAACTTAAATTTCAAGAACAAGTCACATTTTGTGTGGTTTTTCGTTCTTTTAAAATGAATCCTCCAACAGAGTTAATCCCAATTAAGGAACAGCTTTGAACTGATTTTATTGATGAGCTTGCCATAAACCAATTGACAATGTTCTCCCATTTATGTGCTTCCACATGGATGTGGGCCTATCCGGCCAAGTTTGTTTAATAATTAAGTCCAGGCAACCCCATGGGGATGCCACAGAGCTACAGTGACTCAAATTACAAGCAAACAGCCTCCTTCACATATGTATGGTTAAAAATCAGAGGAGCAGTGAAAGATGCGCCCTGAGTGAGTGGCCATAAATCATTTTAATTAGCCGTTTGTAGCACACTTGAAGCCCCCCCCATCGATTCACTTTCTCCTTTCCTGTCCTGTGTGTGTGTGTGTTTCGTTTGTCCAAAGAGGTGTCCGTCCACTGGAAAATAGAGCTTAAGCCAAACTAAGTTGAAGGCCAAATGAATTAAGTTCTTGGCCAAAAGCCACATAACAAAAAAGCTATTAGACAACCAACCCAACTTTCGCTCTCTATTTATTGTATATAGATGTACATATATACACTGGATATATACATATGTACATTTCCGAGTTCAATATAGTCATTCGTGTGTGTTTGTTGGCGTTATCTGATTAACTGACCCATCCAAGCCTGCCCAGACATGATTTTTCATATGGGGGCCCAATTTGCAGCTTGTCCCCTTAAAAGGAATCCGAGACCAGGAACTAGGCACGGCCCCGAACAATATTGTACGCTTTTTTGGCGCTCGGATGTTTGCCTTTAAATAGCTAGCACATATAAAAAGAATAATGACAAAAGTGGCAGGAGAAGCAGCAGAAGGAGCAGCAGAACAGCAGTGATAGAAGACAAGAAGAGCCCAACATTGGTTCTTGCGGCATGTGGCACAGGGAAACGTTGGAAAATCACGTCACTCTCCCATTAGGAAAATATTTAAAACGTTTCGGTTGCCTTTTATACATTTTAACGGCTGCGAAAAGTTTCATGGAAAATTAAGTTCAGATCTGTATCTCAAAATCATCCCGTAATGCTGCAAGCATGGCCCTAGGCCGCACACCAAAACCATCTAAAATGTATTTCGCATCATGCTGGCCTTGTATACTCGTTTAATATAGTAAACTGCTTTTGAAACTGAGTAAAGTGCAAAGCGCGATCAAGCCAGCTGAGCCGGACGGACACAGCAACGTCGAATGGGCTACTGATGCTGTTCAATACATTTCAATACAATTTATACAAATACGTATGTATATGCATCTATAAAGGCATCTTTAATATGCCCGAGTACCCTTTGAGAAATGTATTTTTAAATAGAATTGGAAATAGGTGAAAATGAGGACTGTTCCCGAAGCTGTTTGGCATTTATTGCTCATAATATTTACATTTAAATCAACAGATTGCATGTAAATACATATATATATATATACGTACATATATATTTTAAATTCATACAAGACTGTGACAAGCACACAGTTCCCTCTGCGGGTCTCTTCCCTTACTTAATCAAATATAAACCTAAGAAGGCAAGTCAATAAACAAAGTCATGGAATTCACTTCAATTTTGGTTTCCTAATGAAATCATTCCGCTCCGACGCCTTAAGCTATGCAACACTCAGTTTTGTTTCAAACCGAAATATTCTTTTCTTTTAACTTGCATATTCCAATCATGTACCCGGAGACCCCCTCCCGCCACGGCCAAAACCCAACAAAAAATGCGTGCAAATTGCTCAACAATGACA